TAGAAGATGAGCATACAGTCAGCCCGGTGGGCCCTATCTCACAAATGTGAGTTAAGGAAACTTGCACAGAGGAAGGGGACTGGTCCTGTACACTGTGGGCGAGTGGAACGCCGATCAGAAACCTGAGGATGGATCCGGCGATGTGGAGGTGGCAGAATCCGGAAAGATGGATCTCGTATTACACACCAATTATGGCGGATACTCACAGCTACAGACATCAATGCCACCGGTAGTGGCTGCTACAGAAAGATGGGTGAGGACCACAGGTATGGATGCAGCGACAGTCGCTAGACTAATGGAAATCCTATGGGAAAACCTACAGGACATACCTTCTCAGAGAAAAGCGGCGCTACTGTGGATGCTATCCATGATGGTGACACCCTCAGCGGTATGGCTTAAAAGCAGAGGAATGGAAGTGGAAATCTCCTGCAGGAGATGTAAATGGCCGTTCGAATCAACAATGCACCTTTGGCTTGCCTATCCTATGTCTCAAAGAGTGTGGCCCTGGTGGATGGATCATTGGAACAGGATATGTGACAACGCATTCACCTGGGATGAGAACTGGATTTTGTTTGGAGCTACGGTCCACCAATCCCAGGGGAACAAAGATTGGGGATACGTTGCAGCAGTAATTAGAGCAGTCATCTTTTCGGTGATCTGGGAGGAACGGAACACAGTTTTGTTCCAAAACAAATTCCTTTCGGATCAGGCCATCAAGGCCAAGATCAAGCACAACATTGTGCTCGCTGTTAAAGGAGACTGGTCGAGGAAGGTATCTAGTGTCAGAAATAAAGTTAGTGGTATCAGATGGTTTCAAGGAAACTGGGCCAGAAAAGGTAGGCTAGCATCAGTAGAAGGGAGAAAGCTACAGGTGTCGAAATGGCTGTTCGCAGCTTAGGAACGACCTGAACACTCGGTCCTTACTTCCACAGTAGGAAGGCAGTAGTTGAAAGGTATGAGGGATTGGAGGGAGTGTTAATAGGACCTGGTCCACTATAGGCCCACAGTCCCACTGATAGGGACTGCTATTGATCTGAACGCTGGATCTTAATTCCACAGTAGGAAGGTGGGAGCGGTTTCGTTCCTTGGGCCCAGTTAGGCCCACAGCCCCGATAATAGGGACTTGTTCTGATCTGTAGAATGTCAGCTGTAGCCCCTGGGAGGCACTCCCTGAACCCGTATAGGTTTTTATTTTGAAAGAGGCGACTGTACTATAGTAAGTAGAATGTAGAATTAGAGATAGTGGAGAGCTCAGTAGTGTTAGTTGCAGACCAGGTAGAGGTAGGCAGCCAGGGGTTTAGGATTTTGTTAGATATATAGGAAGGTAGGAATCTCCAGTAGGTACTGGCAGAATAGTTGTAGTCTTAGGAAATGCGCAGCCAAAGAGCTGCTGGGTCTGTAGAAAAGACCTGCAGCCTGTAAGCTAAGCTGGATGATTCTTCCAGATATCTGTCGTGAACTGGGACGTATTGTGGAGGACCCCGGCCTCCGAATGAGTATTGAGTAATTTGATGTTGGGAAAAAAAAAAAAAAAAAAAAAAAAAAAAAAAAAAAAAAAAAAAACGATTTTGCAGGGACCTCTATTTTGCAGGGATCTTTTTGAGGGGACCTCTATTTTGCAGGGGCCTCTAGAGGTCCCCGCAAAATACGTGACCCACCCCACGGCTGTCCAGACCGCTGACACGTACTACGTGTCCTTTTGCCTGATAACGCAAAATACGGGCCATTTGTGATCCAAAATCAATTTGCCATTTTGCAAAAATATGTGATCATAGTGTGAGGGAAAAAAAGAAAAAAAGAAAAAGGGCAGACTACACTAGGCACTCAAAATTGCAGAATCTTTTCAAAAAAAAAAAATAATAAATAAAAATCGCAGAATCGCAAAGTCAGCCGCCAGATCCAGTCCTCCTAATTGAAGAACTCGATCTGGCCGCTCATTTTGCTATTCTGTGATTTTGAGAGCCTACGGTTACCTACCTTAGTGTTATGCCCTGACTTGGTACACTCATGAACTGTTCAGATACAGACTCAAGTTCGTATCCACATACCATCATCAGACTAAAGTCAGCCTGAATTGCCTGGGGCGGGTCCGTTCGATGATCATTATCTCTTTTTTTTTTTTTTTTACATGATGATGATTATCTCGAGGATGATGATTATCTCGAGGCCGTCACCATCTTTTTTAAAAGAAAGGAAAAAAAGAAAAGAAAGAACGTGGGGCCGTCGACTTGGTTCTTGGCCATCATTGTGCTTCATTTTTATCTTCAATCAATTCGCGTTCGGGACATGGTCTCTGTCTACTGTGCGATTTACTCCCTTTTCCTTCTCTCTCTCTCTCCCCCTCTCCCCCCCCCTTCTTCTTCTACTTACTCTGGCATGTCACTGCGATGAGTGTTGTTGTTGTTGTTGTTGTTGTTGTTGTTGTTTTTGTTACTGCGATGAGTGTTGGTGTGGTGTTGGAAGCATCATTGCGGTCTGCATGTTAAATACTGGTCTGCATGTTAAATACTTGTCTTACTTACGTCGCCATCTTTTTTTAAAAAAGAAAGGAAAAAAAGAAAGAAAGAACGTGGAGCCGTCGACATCCAAGCATCCTCCTGGGGCCAAGTCCCACTTGGTACCCGAATTCTCAACTTCTGACCGTAGATTACGATGATCAGCGGCCAGAAGTGAAGGATCAGGGTAAGTGGGACTTGGCCCCTGATGTGTTCACAGGGGAAGGGGACCGGGGGGGAGGCACAGAGACTGGCCCATAGACGAAGCTCGGTCCTGATGCCACCAGGGGCTAGGTCCCACTTGCACGACCGTAGATAGCAAAGATCAACGCCCGAAATCTCCTAATTTATGCAAGTTGGACCTTGCCCCGGCTGACCCCTGGCCGGTATCGCCCACGAGCTGTAGCAGGTATCGCACCTGCTGGTGGTTGCAGCTCCCGCATGTTCCTTCCTCGTTGGAGGCTTGAGCACGGATGTGGCTGCTACGGGGTTCCCCGTAATAATATAGTGACAATAAAAAAAAAGCCTGAAAGGCTGTCCTGTCCGGATTCGACAGGTAATTAAATTGTTTGGGCTTCAAAGGAATTAGCATTAAAAAAAAAATCCAAGCATCATAATGGTGCCAGCGCGAGGCAGCAGTCATGGGCGCGCAGTGTACCGTTTCGTATCAATTGCTCAGGCCTTTTCCCTCCGCCCATGTAGAACGCCCGGTCATTATCACTGTATCTAGACTGAAAATTGCCCCAAATACAGCTATATTGACCGGGCGTTTTATTCAAGCCAGGACGGCAGGCCTCTCCTCTCTCCTCTTCCTCCTCCTCTTCTGTAATTTCCCGCCTTGCCTCTTCTATTGGCATTTGCACGTGTCTCTCCTGAAGGACTTCCAGTCTATAATTAACAAAAGTCATCCCTCCTGCGCATACACTTCCGTCCCTCCTCCC